TACTAAGGCTCCTAAATATAATAAGGATAAGACTTTGTGATTTTATTATCTTAAATATACTTCTATTGTAAAAGAATTTGAAGGATTTGAGAAAAGAATAGAACCTTTATTAGGAATTATGCAAGATTCTACTTGCATAGTCTCTATTGTAATTGGAAAAATTTATTTTTTTGATATCTTTTCTTATTTAACAATCGTATTCCTTATTTTGTGATACATTATTTTTTTATGCAATATTGAAAAATATGCTTAGATTCTCTACAATGTAGGTACAAACCTTTTTGATACCGATAAGTTTTTTTGTTTAATAAGAAATTTTAAAAATATTATAACAATTTGTATAGACTCTAGCTTAAACGACAAGCTTTCGAAAACTCAGAAGGTATTACTATGGCTTGAATTATACTTCTTCAACCAAATCTTTGTTCTTAGCATCTTTTAAAGATTCAATTGTCACATGTTGTCATAGACAGAGGTATTTTTTTCAATATTTATCTATATGATTAGGTAGAAGTATATAAATATAGATTAATTTCATAATATCTTCTAAAGAAGGTTCCTAAAAGCTTCATAAATACAATTTTGATTTTATATATATTTATATTTAATTGGTAGATTAAAAACTTGGTCAATAAGTTGATCACAAGTCACACATGTTGGCAGTTTGTGGAATAAGCTAATTATGTGGCATATATATAGATAGTTTATATAGAGACAAGAATAAAGCCTTTTTCACTCTTGTCAATGTCTTTCTTGTCTTATACTTATTTGAAGTTTTTTTAGTCTTCTTATCTTTGACAATAACTAATCTAGTTTAATACAATATTATCTTTGAGTGATTTTTTAGTCCTTTTGAGAGACATGAGAGTGTATTGAAGATTTCTTTTTTTGAGATTCATGGCTTTAACACATGAAATGGCTTAAGCAATAAATTACACTAATGAATTTGCTCGTGATATTTTCAACATTAAATCATTGACATTATCTTTTAATCCATATTAAAACTAACTAATGAAGGCTTTATCATTCCAATCTACATCACAAAAAGATTTTAGAATTTAATAGCATATGTAGTAGTTGGATGTGATTCTTATCATAGTGATATGAATTTAGTCTTTGCTATCTTTTTTTAATCACTTTCTCCAAATGTAGCTATAAACACTTTCAAGAATGAATTTAAATCATAGAATAGCCATGAATCTTTTTCCATCAAAGGTGCAAACTAAGAAAGAACACTCTTAAAGAAAAGTGCTCCAATGAATTCAACTTGAGTAAATCCATTAAGATATTGAGAAGGATGCAATTTTAGATAGAGCTTTATTTCTTCTAAAAAATTTTAAAATTTTGATCTTATTTCATCAAACTTCTCTAGCATACTTATCATTTTTTTCTTATACTTATCATAGCAAGATTCCTTGAATTTAATTGTCATCTTAATTTGCTTATTTTTCTTAATTGCTTAACTTATTGGTACAAACTTTAAGCTCTATTGTTGACTTCTTCTATAGTCATAGAAATAATGTTTCTATGATTCACATTGAAAATTTGTAAGATTTCCACTCTTAGAGTGTTGATAATCTCATGAAGATGTGCAATAGTTGCAAGTCTATTCTCACTTTTCTTGAGAGTAGTATCCATGATCTTTCTTTTCATAGACAACTCAAGTAAATTCAAAAATTTAAATTATAGGATGGTAATCTGTAACTTCTAATATTAAATAAAAAAATTTATAAAAAAGGATAATCTTCTATCTTTGAAAAATGAAATCAGTGTTAAAAAACTAAACTATTTGTTTAAAGATACATAGTTCACAATTTTCAAAACACAACAATAAAAGTGGAATAATCCACTCACTTCTAAAACAAAACAAAGACAATAATGAAGTCTTCTTCATTCTTGTTAATGCCTTTGTAGTCCTTAATCTTATTTCAAGACTTTCTAGTCTTTTTATTTTTCACAATAGCCATTTTAGTACAATAAATTAGTACTCTTTTTAAATTTCCAAGGACATGAACTTCAAAGAATTAAAAGGTCAATACACTATTGTGCCACTCAAAAAGACTAAGAAATCACTAAAATATGGTAATATATTGAACTAAAATGGCTATTGCCAAAAACAAAAAGACTAAAAAGACTTGAAACAAGATTAAGGACTAGAAAGGTGTTGACAAGAGTGAAGAAGATTTCATTCTTGCCTCTATATATATTATCTAATTAAGAACTATGTAGCAATGTTCTGTAGGACCTCCAATATATGTTGACTTTATTATACACAAGTCTTAACTTACAAAGTAAGTTTTTTATATGTGCACCATATAATTACCTTCTTCCATTATCTACCAACACATTGTCGTGATGTAACAAGACTAATAGGTGAAAGAATGTAGAGATTATTATAATTTAGGAGATCTTAGTTCAAAGTATTAGAACAAATTATCTTAGAAATATAGTTAATAGTCAAAGGGGTAGTAAAATTAAAAGGTACCAATGCTACCTTTTAGAAAGGTGACTTCTACTTACTTTGTAGGACCATAAATAAGGCAAAACAAAGTAGGTTGGAAAAATAAATAATATAGGCATCTTTAAAAAGAAATTAAGAATAAATTCTAGCAAAATTTACTCAGAAAAACTAGATATTAATATGCGGAGAGGGCCGGTTATGAACTAGGATCGAAATCAGACCTTGAGGCACAAAACCGAGTTTCGATGATGATTCTGGGGTTCTTTTGCAAATCGGAGAGTGAGGTTTAATAGCAGACTGGATAGGGTTTCTATGAGCATTGGTTTTGGATGATTTGGATTTTTATTGACTTTGTAAGAGCTTTGCAAAGTCAAGGTTTATTTCAGATGACTTGGGTTTTGTGAAATAAAATAGGGTTTACATTTTGGATGATTTCAAGAGTTTTGTAATAGATCTATGAGTGAAATTTTGTGGATTAATAGTTATAGTTGTGTTCAATATATGTTGTAAATTTGAGCTTGATCTAATAGTTGAATTGAGGATTATTGAGGTTTAAGTGAGTCAAGGTCTTAGAAAGTAGAATTTTAGGTCTAGTGAGGATTTTCAAGATTTCTTGCAATCTATTGGTTGGATTGGAATGAAATTTGTGTTAGAGGATATTAGACTTGTTTTTCTATGTGTATGAGAATTTTGAAATCAATCGAATGGTGGAGAGGAGAGATATTGACTCTGAAAGATTGGCATCAAGATTGGAGAAGGAGGTGGGCCAATACCCGAGCACATTTTTGAAGTAATCGTCTATTTGGTAATTCCGATCCTTTTAGAACTTTTTGTGCTTTTTTTCAACTTAGTTTTTAAGAAGTGTGCAAAATTTCAATTAAGATCGACGATTTATTCATTATTTATTAAGATTTAATTCTATTATAAAAATTACTAAGGTTTATTTAAGATTTGGTTAGGATTTGATTTAGGGTTTGATTTAGGGTTTAGAATTTGGTTTGGATTTCATTTAGAATTTAAAGTTTGGTTAGGATTTGGTTTAGGGTTTAGAGTTTGATTAGGGTTTCATTTAGGATTTAGGATTTGATTAGGATTTGGTTTAGGATTTGGTTGGAGTTTGGTTTAAGGTTTGTTTAGGATTTGGTTTAGGGTTTGACTTACGATTTGGTTAAGGTTTGGTTTAGGATTTAAAATTTGGTTTAAGGTTTAGGATTTGGTTTAGGGTTTAGGATTTGATTAGGATTTGGTTTAGGATTTAGGATATGATTTAGGGTTTAGGATTTTATTAGGATTTAAGATTTAATTAGTTTTGGCCTAAAGTTTGAATGAAGTCCAATAGGATTTTATCTAGAATTAAATTAAGATTGAATTGAGATGTATTTGAGAGATATTTGTGATCATTCTAATATTTCTTTAAGATTTCTTATTGCTTCTTTGAAATTTCTTTGAGTTTTTTTTTTTTTTTTTTAAATTTGATTAAAGCTTGTTTGGCATTATTATAGTCTAATTAGAGTTTAGTTAGTATTTTATTTTAGTTAGGATTTTGTTGTTGTAATTTCCATTCTACCTTCTACAGCCAGTTGTCCGGAGCATTCTCAAGCAAGACTTTACATATTACGACAACATATAATACAAGACTAACTTGTTGACCAAGTTTCTAACCTACCAGTTAATTATAAACCTGTGTAAAGTCAAAGCAGTGTCTATAAAGCTTTTAAGAAGCTTTTCTAGAAGATATTATGAAATAAATCTATTTTTATGTACTTCTACCTAATCATATGTATAATTATTAGAGTAAATTTAAATGCTCATGACAACATACTCCAATGTAATTGCTATGACTATAGATCAACATTTTGTTGCACAAATTGCATCATGTGGCACCTCTCTCAACCATGCCAATGAATACTATTGGAACCTTATTTTAGAACATCTTACTAAGCTTATTTTAGAAATTTTAGTGTATTTTTAAGAAAAATCTTTAATTTAAAGAAGCTTGATTATCATTATAATATTATTTATACTAAAAAGATAAATATTCTAATCACAATATTTGTTTTAAAAAATATTGTTAGCTCAACTTTTATATCATTTTGATCAATTTACATATTTATCTAATGGATTTTAGACCATGCATGTACAAATACTCTTTCTTCAACCATGATTATACAATTATTACTATTATCATCATGGTTTAATACTTTCTCCATAAATTTTGTAAATTATATCTATATATATATATATATATATGTAGATGCACAAAAACATAAAAAAACATGTATTTAAACTAAAAATTAAAAGTAGTTATATTAATTTGGTATCCTTAACACATTTCAACAGACAATGCACAAAGTAACAGTTTTATCAAGCAAAACATTCATTTGCAAGTGAACAGAACGGATGGATGAATTTCTCGAACATCCTAAACAATACACCCAAACCTACTTCCGAACCAACTCCCAAACCTGTTCACCGAACCTCAAGCCGTGAGGTTCGGGGCTCAGAATTAGGGTTTAGGTTTTGGCGTCGTCCTCGCGAGGCTCTTCCGCCTGCCTCACCGCTTATATGAGTGCTCAGCATAGCGAAGCTGGCATGAGGTGAACTTGTGCCGCACCTTTTGCTTGCTTTGGCTAGACTTCGGATTGTTATCCAGCAGCGATTCAAGTGCTAGCTTCAGCCATGTATCTCATGTGCTACACTAACGAGAATGGCGACAAGGTGTACACTCTGAAGGTCAGTTGCTATTGAAACACTAGGGTTCTATTCATTTCAGGGTTTTGGTTGTCCTGTCTAGATTGGTGGTGATTCGTGATGTCAATGTTGGGGTTTATAGATTTGTGTGTGAGAGTACTCGTCCGCAGCGAATGCTTTCGCTCTCGGTGCCGTGTTCGCATTACGGTACTGAGTGGGTCCACATAGCTGTGCTTTATTGGATTTGGGTTCTAGAGGTTTGGTAAATCGGTTGAGGGTATTGCTGTTTCCTTATTAGCCTGGCACTCGTTTAGCGGTTAGGTTCCTGCGTATTTTGTGGGGTTGCACGTTTTGCGTTCTGTGGGTGCTGCGTTGCACTTTTTCCTCAACTGAACTTGTAATACTACCAAAATCGGTTAGATTGAAATTATCCTAATTATGTTGAAGGTCACCTCAATATTAGGATGTGTTCTTTCCAACTGGGGTTCTGGGTTACGCTCGTTAAATGTCTCACCGTGCTCAGATGATGACGTTATGTTTCCAAATCCTGAACATCATGAGAATAGCACTCCATTTCGCCACAGAAAGGTAGCATATGTTACAATTCTGAAGAGTAGCATCTCTGCTAATGGTGTTCGTGGTTGGCTGTACAACCGGCCGAGAGGAACTGATACTCCGGGATGGTTGTCAGTTACGATACAAATTTCACAGTATCATGAACCCTATGGAAGCTAAGAAGTCTGTAAGCGTACTCACAGATTTAGGGGTTGCTATAGTTATTAGCATTTCTCCTCACTTGGCTCATTGAGTCACGGGGTTAACCGTGTTAAGATGTTCCGGCTGATGATGATAAGTTTTGTCCGTACCATTTGAGACTACGTCGATGCTGAAAGACAAACTCTGAGGCCTTGGGACTGTGGAATGATGATCTAACCTCGAGGTGTACTGCTCCTCGGATTACTTATGTTGATTTAGTGTCTATGTAACGTCCTCACCTCATATGCAAGCTTTGAAGTTATCACCTCGTTCAACAGGAAGCTTTATTAGGGCAAGCAGCTACAGAGAGTCTAACAATGATGTACTTTACGCAGAAAGAAACGCCTGTGGGAGAGGCAACTCACTCAGCTCACCCAGCACGTTTCTCACCAGATGATAAGTTCTCAAAACATCGGATCATTTGCAAGAAGAGGTTCAACTTGTTGCCCACACAGCAGCCCCCTCACAACTACTAGACAGTAATAGATGAGAACCTGATTGCAGGTTGTCTCATGATTAGAATGGAGGGTCAGTTTTGTACATAGACATCGTGGCGATTTCTTTGCGCTTGTTTTCCAATGGACGGCAAATGCTCCACATTTAAAATAAGAGAGCCCGTTAAAAGGAATGACTTGTGCGGTTTAGCCTTGAACGTCTTATCGGTTGGTGGTCTTTTGTCCTCTTGAGTTGAGTCCTTCACAGTAAAGATGATCGGGTGACAATGAGATTGCTGTATCAGCTACTCTATTGATAACCATTCTTGGTGAAGTAACATATCATTTAAACCCCTGTTTTTTCACCTCTATAGTGATGGTTCTTTCAAGATGTTTCATGCTTTAACCTATTTCATTCTTGGTCTAGTGAAATATAATCCCACATTTATATGCGCACTATCCTCTGCTAGGGATTTGATTCAAGAAGCCTGCTATAATCAAATTCTAACGGTTGATGCCCCAGTAATGTTGACAATTTCCTTGAATATGTCTATACACTGCTACTTAGCTGTGGAGGAACAAGTAATTCCATCATCGACTCGTGCAACGCCTCAACCTCATCTGATCAATTTCTCGCAGATTGTATGCAAAGTATGTGCGAAGGAGAGGACGTACGCAGTCAAGCAACAGCATATTGGTCGTCAATTCGATAGGCCAGCCTCAGAATAGACGTACACCACAACGAAGACTTCGTTTAGCAACAATTTCCACACCAATTTCCAGAATCTTGCAGATGAATTCTTGGCAATGGATAAAAACCCCCACAACTAAATCATTATTTAGAAAAATTGGTTACAGTATACTCTGCTCCAACTTAACTTTAAGAATCTATTTGGATTGTGTTCTTTGATAAATAAAATCCATAAAATAATAAATGAAAAATATATATTCATATGTATGTATATATATATATATATATATATATATACAAATAATAATTATAGAATTTTGATTATTACAAGAATGATTTAGTATGTCCTTATTTATTTATTGAAAGTCCATGAGCATTTAAGTTGGTTTTGAGATAAAAAAATTCTCGATAATCTATTTTTTTAATATTAATATTCTAAAATCTTTAAACAAGGTTTCAATTTTACCTTATATTATTATAGGGTTCTAATATGTAGGGGATTGATAGTGCTATTAATTGACCTTTTATCAAATAATGCTTGTTGAAATAATGCTCATTATTTTCCGTTAAAAGAATTTAAAATATATATATAAAGTATATTAATTACTTTTTTCAACAAAATTTGAATTTAAAAAATATCAAGTTATTGTAGTTAGAACTTGGCTACAAAAATATTAGGAAAAATATCATACATATCCTTAAAATATGCAGAAATATCAAGAATATCCATGTATTCTTGATAATAGCAAATCTATCCCATACTTTTGTGATAATTGCAAATTTACCCTTGGACATGATAAGCTATAATCATTTCTTTTTTTAGTTGCATTTGGGCCCAACCGAGGCACTATTCCTTATATATTGGGCTCCTTATGAAATGTAATCAGTGACAGTCATAAACATTTGACCACAAACTTAACAAAGAGTCATAGAAGCAAGTTTGCATTTTTGTGGTGCTGCATTTGTTCGGCAATGGCTCTCAATAGAGTGATTGTGCTAAGCCTAGGATTCAACTCTCTCATTTTGATCTTGAATTTTGGCAATAAACATCTTTGTCATCTCAAACATATGTTACTAAGTGTCTTATAACTTACCTAATAAGGCAAATCGTATTTAGGGTGGAAGGTGAGACTAAACTCTAGGATGGTGAGAGCTATAGCAAAAAGTAGCACAATGGGGTTCAAGGTTCAAGAAAAGTTGGGCTTTTGTATTGAGATGGATCCTTCGGAATCTCACCTCATGAAGCTTAGCATTTGCTCATGGTCCAAATAGACATGTGCACCTAATAAATTTCTATAGACTTACAATACCATAGAAATGTGCTACCTTACAAAAGGCAAGGTGAAGATCTATCCAAAGGGATGATCCATATTTGTTGAATTCAAAGTTGGGAACTTAGTTGTGTTTTCAAAGGGCATGAGTTGCACCTTAGACACTTCTAAAATTGTCAATAATCATTACAATTTTAAAAATTGATCTACTAATAATGGCTTCATGCACTTATTATAGTCAAGGCTTCATGTTGTATTGATTATAAATCTCCACTTGAAGTTTTTTAGGTTATATAATTATAGCACCTTTGCAACATATCTTTTCGACACCATGTCAAAAATCCACAAATAAGACAAGTTGCGGAAGCATTAATATTAATTATTAAAAAAGGGGATAATGTTAATTATTAAAAAAGGTGTTTGTCATGTCGTTATACAAATCCTATAGAGCTTATTGTTCAACAATTTTCAAGGAAATATTAATATTAATTATTAGAAAAGGATAACCAAAAAAGAAAAAGAAAAATGAAATACAAAGAAGACTCTAAAAGAGCTCAAAAAATTATAAGAAAAAGAGCCAAAAATTAGAAGAATGCCACTAACAGAATAAATAAATAAATAAATCCACATTTAAATTTTTGTAATGAAAATTGAGTGTTGTAAAATGTTAGAGTGCCTAAAACCTCAATCACAGTTCCAATTTTTACCAACCTCCACACTAAAGTGCAGCTTCATAAACATTCACACATGCACAGTGACTATTCCTTCAGGCATTCTCCTGGTTTTGAGACCCAGTGTTGCTTTGCAGTAACCTAAAATTGATGGATGAGCTACTTACCTATCATTCTCAGTGCCCATTGCTTCATTCCAGATTCATGAAGGCCAGCTGCATAGTGGGCAACTGAGTTCATGAGAGTCCCATCTCACTACCGCCGCGCCACAGAAGCATTTATTGGCACAAATATAGTTTATCACTTTCTCAGTAAGAGAAGTTGTGAGTCGCTGTTGGTAACTGAAAGATGACAACCATCACACCCAGTTAACAGTATCGAGTGAGGTGTGAACAAAGGATAGCAGCGAAGATCATCATGCAAAGCATCGACACGTTCCAATCCATTTTCGCTCAGTATGCGGCTTCATGATGCAGTAAATCAATGCCTAGAACATTCAGGTCGCTGCATGTTGACATGGTGATAATGGATGGAGTGTTTGATAGCTGCAGAAGATGTGAATTATTGCTAAGTGATGAGGGATTGCAAGTATGCTTGCATAATCACTGACAGAAGGATGATCAGTTGGACTTCGTACTTGTCATTGCCACATGACATACGCAATGAGTTGAATGAGTCCGAACTGCTACACATTGTGTGCTATTCACAGATGTATATCACTCTTCTCCACTTCACAGCTGAAACAGAAGAAAGCACCTTTCTCTGATTTACAAAATGCATTACTGTGGTTGGAGTTAGAAAATAAATTTGGCGAAGCTTTTGGAGGGCAATGTACTGTGTCCAGACAAGTCTTTTTGTGGTTGGAGGCGCTGAATAATCAGTAACCTTCCACTACGCACAACTTTTACATACTCATGAGTAGCTAAATAAAAGATTTTAGCTACTCATGACAAACACACCTGTAAACTGTGAGACAAACCAAATGTAACCCACTCAGAACGCAACACATGATACTCGTCGATTTAGAATGTGATCCAATTAACGCCGTGTTACTGGTACAATACATTACATAATTGATCGTTTACAGAACAAGGCAAGAGCATGCTCGCAAATGCAACTAGCAATTACAAAGTTTAGTGCTTATTTTTTCAAGCAATTCTTGCCATGTGCCTGCGATCCTAATTAACAGTTCCCTATATCTTATAATTCACAAGAACGCTATTAAAAGATGATCCACCACCAGGCGCTGCATGAAGAAAATGAACAGAGTCCAAGCCCGTCCAATCGAAAATGCCTTCACTGTAACCTGAACACCAGGTACAAATTTAGAGTTCAACTTCACATTTTGATATGTTGCTACCCCACACAATTTGACTGGCTTATCAGTAAATAATATATGCTCGCTCACATTCAGCTCCAGATAACGCACTCGCACTTCCGACCAAATAAAAATTGTGTACATTCAAGTGGAGCAGGAGAAAAAAAATAGGAAAAAAACAGACATGGGATGGTAGATGCAAGAGGAGATCGAAATTGAGTCTTGAGATGGTAACATACCTCATAACAGACGCTAACCCCTCCAGTAGCATCCAAAACCTTCAACTACACAAGACAATTTTTTTCGGAACATTTGCCCTCGAGATGCTGGTTTCCAAACTCCGTAACGACGTACTTAGAACTCGTCGATCTCAGATCATCGTCTAAAGTAGTACATACTGCTCAACCCACTCTCATATGAAGGAGAATCTATCATGTAATTCACTGTCACCTCCTCTAAAGTATTAGAAGACTCAGAACACCACATTCTGTAAATGAACACCTAGCATAAAATCACTACCGATTGACAGTAGCGTTAACAGGACCGCAAGAAGAAAAAAAGAAAAAAGAGCAGAGATGCTTGTCGTACGGGTGTTGTAGGCTCCCTCTCGATCAAGAGAAGAAGCCACCCTACAGAGATTAGTATCTGATATTGGACACAAAGTTGAGCTACCAATATAATACACGTGCATCATCCAGATGATCCATCCATTCCGCTCCTATGAAATTACAAATCAGTCACCGCTTTCCACCGCAGACGAGCATCCTGCCCTGCGAAACGCGAGGCTGCAATCGAGTTCTCTCAAACAAGAACTCGTCAACATGCACGGCACCTTCATCTTTTCCTCGCTCCCTGTTTAAGCTTTTCCCCCACTCCTCTGATTTCTGATCCCATGCACTCTTCCACTCTTGAAAGTCGCATATTGCTTTCTCAATGCGCTCCTTCCTTCCAAGATCAAACTCTGGCTCCCAATCCAACCAAGGCAGCAACATTCCCTCATCATCAAGGGGTTTGATCACTTTTTTTCTTACCGACACAGCCTCTAGACTATTCGGGCTCTGCCTCCTGGACAATGGTCTGGGATCGTCACACACCGACGACTCGCCATCACTCGACCTGTCGTAGCTCACCGATATGTCGTCTACAGCTATCACATTTGCATCAAAGTTAGCAATGATAGCGCACTCCTCGAAGTACCGCGCTGCCTCCTCGTCCAAAGATTGTCTAATAAAATCTGACTCATCCACATCCTCCACCGGGTATCGATGATGGTGCTGGGGCTTCAAGTCCTCCTGCGGGCAAGGATCTTGGGACTCAATACCGTCGGTTTTCATTTGTAGAGGATCCACAGAACCCTGCTTAGTGTCCTTCATGGCATTTACCGAGTGTAGACATCTTTGTACCTCAGTTGCGTACTGCGACCAAAGCTCTGAAACTTTCCTTTCCGACATCTTCAGCTTTGCTTCTATAACTTTGCGCAGACCTTCCTCCTTCACATTCTTCAGCTCGTTCCGAGTATCCGACACAACTTTCCAAAGTTCAGCGCATCTCGCATTGTACAAAGCCACTAAGTCTACGTCACCTTGCAATGGAGCTTCTCTCGAATTTCCGGCCACTTTCGACTTAACAGGCCCCATGGGCGACAGAGCATCCGTAGAGGCTGCCACGTCGTAAAGACTGTTGTAACAAAGATTTTGTACTTTTGTTTGCGTGTGCACCTCTTGGATAGTTTTATCTACAACCCTCCCCTCCACTTGTACATCTCCATCATCCGTCACAGCATTGCGAAGTTGGTGATCCTCCGCACCTGCAGTTTTTGGTTTCTGATAGTATGCTGGTATGGATACGTCCGAGAGCTCCAAGTTTGCCAACGACCTCCGCAATTCCATCTGCGTGCTAGAGGTTCTTCGTGAAATTCTCTCCCGAAGTCCATTCAAATTTCTTTTGCTTGCCGATGTAGAAGACTGAATGCTCTCATTATCAGAGCTATCACGGGGAGTACTGAAGCTACTGCTCCTATCCAGTCCCCGCGCACTGCGTGGCTCAACCTCGCTTTCGGAATCGCTCGGGTGCATCCGAGACGCACCCCTTACGCCAATGCCACTCTGATGGGTCATTACAACTGGAAGAGGATCGTATTCGACGGGCGAGTCAGGCTGAACCTGAGGAAGGGCCGCATCGGCAGCGCTTCGCAGACTTCTGAGCGCACGCCCTACAGCCCTGGCAGTGCCCAATCTTTGAGGAGAAGTAGCTCGGGAGCGAGGCCCCACTGAAGTATCTCGGCGTCTCGTTGGGCTGGCGGGTCGAGAATGGACTCTTGCGGGAGTAGCTGGAGTCAGACGAGTGACCCGAGTCGGGCTTGGACCGCGCGATACTCCCCTGCGTCCACGAGTGGGGCTCGGGCCTCGCGACATTCCTCGACGCCCGCGAGTGGGACTCAGGCCTCGCGACATTCCTCGGCGCCCGCGAGTGGGACTTGGATTGCGTGACGGAGAGCGTCTCCTAATTTTCGCAGGACTCGCAGCTCTCGATGCGAGCCGGCGAGTGGGGCTCGGATTACGAGATACTCCGCGGCGACCGCGGGTCGGACTGGGAGCTTTCGACATAGAACGACGTCGCGTAGGGCTGGGAGCTTTGGACACAGAGCGCCTGCGCGTGGGACTAGGGGCTTTGGACATTGAGCGGCGCGTGAAAGATGGTTGGCGCGACATTGAGCGTCGGCGTGAGGGGCTTCGATTGATCGACCGCCCTCCAAGTGGGTCTTCAATTTCTACCCCCCGAATGTCATACTGCTTACGAGTCGTGGACCTAAATGCCGCAACAGCCATCGTTGCAGCTGCTACTCCTTCCTTCTTCCTTTTTCACTGCGCAATGCTTGCGAAATTCTTCACCTCCCACACGAATTTGTTCACAACCCGGAATGACTGGATTCGTTCAAACCCTTAAGAAACATACACAAGCAACCCCATGTCCCCCATTCCACCATCTTCAAAACAATATCCTTCACTCGCTCTCTCCACCTCGCTCTGTCGACGACACCAATGTGACAATCGCGAAAAGCAACTCCCACCCACAACTATCAAAACAACCGCATAGTTTTCAGACACTCAAACCCAAACCTAGCTCCAACGGAATCCATACAACAGCACTGCTAAATTCAAAACCCCAGAACAAGGGAGCGGTTGTGTCTCATCCACAACCTTGCAATCCAAACGAACCGCTTTCCACTGAAAACTGGCTTCGAACCCCTCAAATCCCCACTCCCCAACTGCCCAATGCTCCGCCCGCGCAGGATCGGGGAGTAGCCATGGCCTCATCAATGCTTCCTTCAAATGCCAATTATGACTCAACTTTCTCCCCACCTATATCAATCTGATCGAGCGGCTCGATATACTGCTGGTCCGTGAGTGGTCGGGCGTGTGTCAGCCTACTACCTCCCGACCTGCCCACGAATTCGAATCCTTTGCCCGCCCTGGCCCGGGCAACGAATGAGGTCTCCGTGGAGCCGCCTCCTCATTCCTAACATTTGAGCATTCAAATTTTGCCAAACCCTCCAAAATTCCTTCTGTCCTCCAATTGTTTTTTATTTGTTTCCGTCCCCCGATGAGAATGCTCGCCGTTGGGGGGCGGTTTAAACATGCCCTACGCAGTCCTCCCTTCCTGTTTCTTTGCGGTCTTCGGTCTTATTTTGCGTTAATCTCACAACCTACAGTTAAATTGTGTGACCAATTTCAACCCCAGTTGTTGCAGTTCCTCTTTTTCTGTGCGCAACGCTGGCCGGGCAGTTGCATTTAAAACTTGACACATCGTCAGAGTTGAATTTGAGACGTTGTCAGTTCCGTGCATGATTGGGCAGTGCCCCATTTCGAACCCGCAAATTCTTCAGGAATGTAGACCTAGAAACCGAGTTGCAGATGGTGCATTTTTGAACCCCCGAGAGTCAGGGAGAGCCCATTTCTGGCCCTACGATGAGGTTTTCTCGGTTCATTCAACGAACGTCATTTGCCACCTCGTTGACGATCCATACAGTACGATCTTTGTTTAACATGCCATGCGTTTTTTTAGACTATTGTGTCGTCATTGTAATCGCAGGCAACCAGCATACGTTTCGGAAATACCACCGGACGCAATCAAGAGTCGCAGAAGACAGAGTTTCAACTTTTGTGCAGTTTTTTGTGCAATCCTAAGATAGCATGCGCTTAACACTTTCGCAGGTTTGTGTTTGTATCACTTCCTTTGAAAACATTTGTTCACATGATTAGAAGACTTTTACACATGCTGCCAGAGAATTTCTACCTCGGAAGTTCTTCACTACCTAAGCTATCTAGAATTTATGCTGCAGAGATATAGTTATACACACGACACATGATGGAAGATGAGAACTGTACACAGCTTAGGCATTTAATCATGTCATTTTTTATTGTATTTTTCAATGTGTATGCAATTGATTTATAACAGTTTGCATGAGAGTTATGTTACGTTTTAGGACTTTGCTCATATTGAGGTGATCAAGTTGAGGGATGTGCTCAATATACACTAACATTTGGGTTCCTTGCTGTGTTTTGAAAGCAATTATTATTATTATTTTTTTAGATTTTATTAAATTTAATATACAAGTCTCAATTCAATTACTAAAAAAAAAGTAAAAAATACTAACATACTAAAACAACTCAACACATATATTATTTTGTTTTATGTAAATTATTATGATATATAGTATTAGCTTATTTATATACCAATATTTTTAGAAAATACATAAGTGTCATTGCAAATAATATTTTAACTAAAATATATAATCTTATTTTATCTTTTATAAATTTATAAACTAATATAAATTCTCCATTTACTTATTATGGTATTATTTCAAATTCATTATGCTAATTTAATATGTAATTTAATTGTACTTACAATAAGTTTTATATAATTTCTATTCAATAGTCACTATTTTATCAATTTAACTTTTGTAACTTTAAGTTCATTTCAAATAAGATAAAATACAAAATATATGCTCATATGTATTAGCCAAGAAATATAGAGCTATGGCAGTTTAAGTGATCTTTATACTTTAGATTGTCAAATTAATCTTCATTGGGATTAATAAATGCTAAGCATTTATAATAGATATCCATCTTACTTGAGTAAACAAAAGTAAATAGAAGTAGGTAGAAATACACTAAGTGGACAATTCTTTTTTACAAGACTTTGAATAGATTTTTTAGTATAAATTAGATCTTTAGAGTCCCATACATATTTCATATAATTATTTAAACTTGTCTTGGAAGTTATTTACTTTTAAAAAGTTGTATTAGAAGCAATACAACTTGATGTTTAGGCCACAAGTCTTGTGGTCTTCAAAATACTTTTAAAAGATCTTCTTGGTAGATAATGTATACAGAACCAAAATTGAGATTATTATCAATTTTGTCAATACCTTTCTAATATTCTAATTCTGATTTGAAACTCTTTAGATTCTTCATATTTGAAAATAGTCATTCTATTTTTTGTATATCTTATATTTAGTTCTTCTTTTTTACACTTTTTTTTGTAATAATATAAAAGGATATTGTATCTTTAAAGTTTTATTGAAATTTGCTTCTTCAATATTTTAACTATACTACTATTATGATATAGGTTTTTTGTTTAAGAAGTGAGTAATTTATTCTATATTCAAAAAGATGTATTTTTAAGATTGCATATTATTTACTATTAAACTAATATATTATTTTTTAATATATATATTTTTTTATGTAAGTGATAGACTATGCTTCATATGGAAATCTATATTCAATGTTAAAAGTTATAAATTATCTTCTTCTAATTTGACTTCTATTCTCACTAGTATTTTTAAATTTAAGTCTAAATCATCTTAGATAGATATAAAAAAAAATTGTAGAATGTTCACTTTAAAGAAGTAAAAATTAATTTATAACTACTATCAATCTTCAAAATCTCTTTAATAATTTTTAAACAAAATATCACATATACTAATAATATCAATTATAAAAGTACTATTAGTACATCAATAAAATAAATAGACTATAAAGTTTAATATTTGCATTAAGTAATTGTATAATTGAAAAAAACAAGTATAAGTAGATCAACTCCAAAAACGGGTTTTAATTATTTTTCTACTATATGAACAATATATATATATATATATATATATATATATGCTAGAGAGGTTTGATGGAACAAGATCAATTGCTTTTAGAATTCTAAAACATGTCAAATTCTTCTTTTGCTTATATCATTTTTGATGTCTTGATAGTAACACTCAATTGAAATGTATAGATACTTTTCTATCAAAAAAATTTTCTTTTTATTTTTTAGTTTGTATCTTTGATAGAAAATAATTATTAACATTTGGATTTTTAAAAAAAATTTAGAAGCATTTATAGCCACATTTGGAAAGAGCAACCAAAAATTCTTTGAAACAAAGATTTTTAGAAGCATTTATAGCCACATTTGGAGTAGTAAAAACAATTCCAATCTTTGAAACAAGGGTCAAATTTAGTTGCTAATTATCTTTTGGAATTTCAACAACTTACTTATAATATAGTGTAGAGTGATTAAACTCTTATTAATAAATTCTAAGACTAATTAAAAGATAATATCAAAGATACGTTACTTACAATATAAAAAGAAAATTTATTAGAGAAATTAATCTTTTAATCAATTACATATAATAACGTATTTTATTAAAGACATTTAGAATAAAAAATTGATTAGAAAGGGACAAATCAAGCAATGACAAGGAATTTTGAGAGTCCAAAGATTTATATATTACAACAAAATTATAAAAATATAAAAAAATCAAAAAATAATTAAAACCTATGTAAATTGAAAAAACCCAATCTAAAAAATTAACAGTAGAGATTCAAAACATGAATTCAAACATGGAAAAAATAAAAAAAACAAAGACACATGGTTGTTGTAGCAACTATGTGATTTAAAAAATGCAGACTATAACCATTAAGTGTATGTATCTTGCTATCACCAACTTTACATCTTATTGAACTTCCTACAAATATTGTAACTTTATATTATAAATTCTTAATTTAAAGTTTTCTTGATACTAGAGCCTCAATTTGTTTTATATTTAAGGACTTTGTACCACAACACATGTTAATATTCTTAAAGAAAATTTTTACCAACTCTAGAAGATGTAATTGGTGAATAACCACTTGCATTTGAAGATGTTATTGAAGAGACGAAGTAATTAGAAGTGAAATTAGAAAATTAAGTAGTAGCTTTTTATTTTATTTTATTCTTTGTTTTGTTTGACATCAATTAATTTTGTTCAAAACCAGTAGTACTTGGCCTCTTCTACTTGGCTTCTCTTAATTTGAATTCAATTTTTTTTTTATCTTATTCAGAAACTGCAAAAAATTACATTGAGACTTAGTCTAAAAATCAACAAATTATTTTGATTCTTATTTGTTTGTTCTAAAATATTTATACAAGTTGCAAAAGAAAAAATGAGTGTTAAAAAGACGACTGTTAAAAATTACAAAAATGCCAATCTTAAAATTGCACTATTGATCTTTAAAAGAAAAATTTAATAAATTTTGGACCAATTTCTAGTCTATTACAATGGATATATATATATATATATATATATATAATACTGAAGGAAAATATTAAAAAAAATCTTGCAAATTATTTAATATTACATAAAATAATTTTCTTGCAAGTGCACTATTCTTCATTGTGAAGAAAAAAAATAGGTCCTTACATATATGTGTAGATTATTATCAACTTAACAAATAGACTATCAAGAATTGTTGTCTTTTGTTTCTATAAGAGGGGCTTCTTAATCAATTTAGTGAAGTTAAGATCTATATTAAAATAAATCTATGCTGAGTTTATAAATTGATGCTCATAAAACAAGCAAATGAATAGAGGACTATATTTCAAACTAGATATAACCAATTTAAGTAAAATATCATGCCATTTGGATTAGCAAATGCTCTAGCTACTTTTGAGCATTTGATAAATGATATATTTTAAAAAATAAAAAATAAAAAATAATATGTGATCTTTAATCAATATTCATTAGTATACGAAGACTACAAAAAATAAAATAAAATAAAATAAAAAATAACATTTTTGTCTCATATTATTAAAATACATGCATGCATAATTATATATTAAGATATAGAAATATAATTTTTATACAACACAAGTAATTGTTTTTGGGTATTTCATCTCCATTGATAATTTCCAAATGGATTTTAAGAAGGTATAAATTATTAAGGTATAAACTATTCAGATTTTTTGTAATTGGATATAGCCATTTTGATTAATCTTTAACTTATATCTATCTTTTATTTTTCTATCTTCTCTCTTTTGATAACAGAGGAATATATTATCTTTTCAAATTTATGTCTTGATTTATGACTTTGAGGCTTAATTGATTTTATAGAAAATATAAATGTCTTTTGAGGGAAAAGAAGTTTTTTTTAATAAAATAAATTCTACAAAAATTATAATG